TATATACATCTGTGTGTGTGTGTGTGTGTGTATGTATGCATGTATATATGCATATATATGTATGTATATATATACATATATATTCACATATACATGTATGTATATGTACATATATATACATTTACATATATATATGTATGTATATTTATATATATATATATATATATATATATATATATATATAGATAGATAGATAGATAGATGGATATGCATATAAATATACATATGAATATATACATATATATACATAAATATATATATATATATATATATATATATATATATATATATGTGTGTGTGTGTGTGTGTGTGTGTGTGTGTGTGTGTGTGTGTGTGTGTGTGTGTGTCTCATATACATATATGTGTGTGTGTGTGTGTGTGTGTGTGTGTGTGTGTGTGTGTGTGTGTGTGTGTGTGTGTGTGTGCATACGTGCAGTTATATATATATATATATATATATATATATATATATATATGTATATATATATACCATATACATATATAATATATATATAATGTATATATATCATATATATATATAGATATAGATATATTATATATATATATATATATATAGTATATATGTATGTATATATATATAACATAGACAGTATATAATATATATATGATGTAGATCTATCATATACTATATATAGTATATATAGTATATATGTATGTGTGTGTAAGTGTCTGTGTGTACGTGTGTGTGTGCGTCTGTGTGTAAGAGTGTATGTGTGTGTGTAAGTGTGTGTGTGGGTGGGTGTTTGTATCCCTACAGATTTGTTTCAGTTCTTGAAGGCGTTTGTTTACCTCTGGAAGTGTCTGTCGCGCAGAGGATGTCTCATATATATATATATAATATATATATAATGTATATATATCATATATATATATATATCTATATATATATATATAATATATATATATATATATGTGTGTGTGTGTGTCTCATATATATATATATAGATATATATATATATAGATATATATATATATATAGATATATATATATATATAATATATATATATATATCTATATATATATATATATATTATATATATATATATATGTGTGTGTGTGTGTCTCATATATATATATATATGTATATATATATACCATATACATATATAATATATATATATATATATATATGTATATATATATACCATATACATATATAATATATATATATATATGTGTGTGTGTGTGTCTCATATATATATATATAGATATATATATATATATCTATATATATATATATGTATATATATATACCATATACATATATAATATATATATAATGTATATATATCATATATATATATATAGATATATATATATATATATAGATAGATAGATAGATAGATAGATAGATAGATAGATAGATAGATAGATAGATAGATAGATAGATAGATAGATAGATGTGTGTGTGTGTGTCTCATATATATATATATATGTGTGTGTATACATATATTAATAAATACATACATATATTTGCATATGTGTCTATATACGCATAATTTTATATCTAAGTATATATATAGATAGATAGATGTATAGATATATTTGTCTAAATCTTCATCTCTTTCTGTATATATAAAGACAGATAGATAGATAGATGTGTGTGTGTGTGTGCGTGCGAGCGTGCGTGTCTGTGTGTGTGTGGTATGCGTGTGTGTGTGTGTATGTGTGTGTGTGTGTGTGTGTGTGTGTGTGTGTGTGTGTGTGCGTGCTCGCAGATAAACAGATAAAGATACAAAATGTATATGTATGTATGTCTAGATCCTTATATTCCAAACCGCAGCTTCAAGGAAACGTTCTAAATAAGCCTACACATGTTTTGTCTCTTGAAGGCAAAAAAGAATATTATCTGATTTATGATACATATATTTAGAAAGAGCGCACTGGCTTTATTAGTTGAGTTACTGGACGTACTATCAGAAGCATTTATAGGCTTGTGTTTGGATAGCAATATTGTGCAATTGCATGATCGTCTTCTGTGTTTTTTATATGTTTCTGTGTATTTTTTATTATCTATTCATGTCACAACAGGTTTCATTCGTCACAGAAGAATAATCCGTATAAGTTGTTATATTTTTGATACAGGGAATCTCTGGGACTCTAAACTTTAATAACAATTTGCGTTCTTGCAGTTGTGGGTTTTATGGCACTTTAGAGTCGCCGTTATGATCCCTGGGTTCAAAACACGTCGCAAGAGCAAACGCTGGAGCAGAAATTTCAAGATAGATTTTATTACGGCAACAGGACAGAAAAAAGGAGTCAGTCAGCTGATTTGTGCAGAGTTGACTTAACTATTATAATTATATGATTATTCCATGTCCATTAACTTCCCGTGCCCACCTATTGTTGATTTGCAAGATACGCTGTTGTCACTATATAGAATTCCTGCACGGGCTCGAAAATAGTATGAAAACACTGTAGCACTAAAAAAAATATATATATCATAGTAATACAAGCGCGTCCGAGTTGGCGAAATGTGTCACATGTTGGCTGACTGCTTTTTGGAAAGAGCAAATCCGCGAGCCATGAAAAGGGTAAATCGTCATTCATCACCGAACAATATTTACATTTAAGATAACTTCACCTTCATCTGCTAAAGGGAAGACATCTTTGGTCACTTTCCTGAATCTGTTGATACGAAAGCCAGAAGCCAGATACAAGGTTCCTTTCTATGTATCTACTTATCTACTTATATCTACGTCTTCATCAATATAACTGTTCAGACAATGACGTTAGTTTGAAAGAAGGTATATTTTACAATGTAAATATATTGATGTTTTTTTCTGTATAGCGCTGTATGACGTTTCCTTCTGGCAACAAACCTGTATTTTCCTTATAAAGGCAAAATAACTTTTTTCATTTGACGCAGTATGCTCCATACGCTTTAAATAGTTTTATTTCATCAACTATTTTATCATTTTCAAATGAAAATGGAAATATATACAGTAGGTAAATGAATAAGTAGATAAGTGTGTGTATGTATGTATGTATATGTGTATATGTGTGTGTGTATGAGTGTGTATGTATATGTATGATTATACATATAAACACATGCACACACATATATACATTTATGTATGTATGTATGTATATATGTATATATGTATGCACGTATGTGTGTGCTTATAGTTGTATGTACAAGTACATGTATATATATACGGCAAGATGCATTCAAGAGCTTTGCAAGATTGCATACAACGTCCTTCCTACAAAGGCCGAAAGTCTTTAGAAATCTTCAAAACGTTTATTAGATTCCGAGAATGAGATTTCCGTCAGGCTGGAGAGTTATTGTCTGTCTTTCGCAATAGTCAAAATAGCATTTCTCTTGTACGATATTTGATTTACACTCGTTGTCTTTTATCAATACCCGAAGTCTTTCCTTTACTTTCTGGTCTATCTCTTTTTGGGACTTCTGAAATATCTTTCCGTTTTCTATTGTCTACAATTCTCTGAGTTATTTGTATACCTTTTTCTTCTTGATTTTGTTGTTTGAATTCTTGAAATGGGTCAGTCTTTTTATACGTACGTTTCCCGTTGAGAATTCTTGTTTTCATTGATTTCACTTGAAATAGAATTAGTTAAAAGCTGCCTCATGCCCCTAAGGATAAGTTATTATACTTAAGTGTTTGTGTATTTAGATATTCTAGACTATTGTTTGTCAATAAGCTACGCCTCTCTCTCCCTCCCTCCCTCTCTCTCTCTCTCACCCTCTCTCTCGAACGCATTCCTATCACGAAAAGAGTAGAGGAAGGCTCCAAACAAAACATGTTATTCCATCTCTTTCCCAATTCTTTCCTAGACATTTCATCGTCACATCAATTCGTATGTCTTTATGCGCGCGCGTGTGCGTGTGCGCATCTAAAGTCTTGTATCCTAGGCGTAAAATTGCGTAAAAATAATGCAAACCCTTTGTGCCGCACATCACATCCGGCAATTTGCTGATCAAATCAATAACTCTCAATTGGACAAAAATATAACCCAACAAGAAAGAATTGCTCGTGCAATGTTTCCGCATGCATCTGGGTTCGTATTGTAATGTTGCATGCTCGTGCGCATTTTTTAAAAACTGAATGCAAGAGGTGATAAATGGACGAAGCCAAGCACAGCAAATAAATAAAGTGCGCGGTAAATAAAATTACTTTTATACAAATAGATGACCATTCAAAAATAACTGCGTTTGGAATGGAGGTAGGAAGCGGGGAATGGTGAAAACAAATGAAGGTTAGACATCAAAGGTTATACGGCACTGGGGGAAAGTATTGTGGCGAAAAGGGTAAAAATGAGTTAACGATGAGGATAAGTGGATAGAAGAAGGAGATGAAGAAGAGAAGGAAAAGGAGAGAGGGAGAGGAAAAGACCACGTAAAATTTGTTGAGGCCTCAGTCTCCGACTCCTACGCCCCCCCCTCCTCCCGCCCCACGACAACAACGCGAAAGGAATTGGAGGGGGGGATAAGGTCCCGGAATGGGTAGGGGTGAGGTGGAGGGCCTGGGGAGGGGCCGGGCTTGGTCGATCTGTCCCCAGAATCAAGGGAAATCTGGTCACATTTTGACTCCCTTTCCCTCCTCTTAAATATAATGAAAATGTACACTATATCCAGTGTGCAAAACTTAATTGTCAAAAATAAAGCAATCACTGTTAATCTAACGTCAGGAGGGTATTTAAGCAGTTGATCCGAAGTCATTCATAATTCCGATTTAGGTAAAAATGAACCGTTTATAAGTAGGATAATTTATCAAAGGACGGCGGATTTTTACAATGTCACCTACGTCCTGCATCAGTAAAAAAATCACGAAGAAAGAGGTTGTTTTGAGGTTTTTAATTTCAGAAATAGATGACGGAATTCAATTATATAGGAAACTATTACATTCCTCCCCGATAAAAACGTCAAACTACTACCAACGTTCTTAGCAGATAGCAGTCACTTAATCAAATTATCTGCATTAAACAGCATTAACTGGCAAAGGAAACACGCAACTGGTAAATGTGTTTATTTTCAGCACCAAAGATGATGGTTAAATCAAATGTGTTATCTGCATAATATTATGCAGGCTCTTTGCTTTAACAAAACAATAAAACGAATTTATTTCTAAACAATAAGAATTTCTATTTATGACACGAATCTCATCCATTATACATTCCACAAAACGGTCTTACATCTTTACCTATTACATGAAAGAAAAAAATCTTACTTATTTGACACCATTTATAAAACTAGTACAATCTAAGTATAAATGCAAAAGTTCACACACTCAAGAGAAGAAAACTTTTTGAAAAAATAGAACAAAATGAAGTGTTTACTGGCATAGACATTTATATTTACAACAAAAACCCTATATATAAACCTAAGTAATCCTGTGGATAGAGATACAAGAATGTGTTCTGACATCCTGATATTAATATTATTCATTATTCAGGTACGTAGATGCATGCAGAGTATAATACTGGAATGAAAAAAATGAGTGACAGTCATACAAAACAAGAGAAGCCTTCGAAGATATGTTAGAATGCATGTTATACATTATACATTCTAACTCAAAAGAAACGAATATATCTTATCATTAAAATGGAAATAATACAAGCTGAAATATGTTCGCTTGATGGATTTCATCTCGATACCACTGGCCGATCACGCCAGCTACGGTTGAATGAATATATGACACATTAAAGCTCTAAAAAAAAAGTAGAATTTTGAATCGAACCTGCGTCGATTGTCAACTAAAATCACGAGGAGCGCGAAAAAACTTGGATTATATACTTGGGAAAGACTC